GACTTATGTCATCTTATTAAGAGAATAATACTTTATCATCAAGTAGGTTAGAAGTCAATGCATCATATTTTAGGAAACAAATAAGGATGGTTTATTTGTGTACTTTAATTTGTACATGTGTTAGTCCTATTTAATTTGTACATGTGTTAGTCGTATCGCATTAGTTGCAACATTGCAAAATACACACTATTCATGTACTCTACTTTGACTACATTTTATTTATTAATGTATATGAATTTTTTGTTCGAAAAATATTGTTAAATTCGTCTCATTAAAAAGTTTCATAATCTGATTTTTAATTATTTTTTACTAATACAAAATTGTGCGTTGGCAAACGTAAAAAAGTGAATGTTACAACTAAGCAAACATTCTAATCCAGCTGTTTGTTAGGTTACCGTTCCTAGCGAAAGGTCTCGAGTTCGAAACCCGCTAGGCATATAAGGGTTTGAAACTCAATAGTGTGAGTTTCAGCCCTGATTACTCCAGGGCCCTCCCCAGCCCGAGCCCCCTGACCCCGCTGGAGTAGCAAAAAAAAGCAAAAAATAGAAAAGTGAATGTTGCAACTAAAAAAGAACGGAGGAAGTATATCAGATTATATTAATAAATACGTAGTATTTATTAACTAGTGATGTATTCTAATTAGGGTGAGGAAGCGGTCCAGTCTAGCTGGTCGCCGACTCACTCTCCCTTACGGGAGGTCCCGGGTTCAATTTTCAGTGGAGTGTGGAGTGAGATTGAGCCCAGTTTACCTCAGGCCCCCCAAAACCCCCCTCCCTTGACGCCCCTGGGGTAAAAAAATAAAATAAAATAAAAAAAAAAAGTATGCTAATTAGGGTATATATCCTCACTCGTTAAACATCTACGTACGTACATCCGGCTGTACATAGGGCATGGTACAGCCGGGTTTTTTTGTAAATTATTCCAAGTTTGAGTCTAATCTTCGTCCTTCCCAGCTGTTTCGTCCTCTTCTCCCAACTTTCTTTCCTTCATCTGTTTCGTCTCTACCGCGACTCTCCCAGCTGGTTTCCGTCTGGTCATCGATCAATTGGAGTAAGATTTCTGTTGCCTTTTCTTTGCTTTTTATTATTTTATTCATTTATGTTTTCTTCCAATTTTGTATTGCAATGATAAATTTTTGTTTTTGCTTGTTTCCATCTTCTATCTTACTTTCGTTCTTCTTTTACAGTTTCTTCTCTTTGATGTGCTCCTCTTTATTATTTACTTCCGTTGATTCTTGTGCAGGTTTAGTTTTTTGAAGTTGTTCATTCAGTTCAGGTTATTGTCTTCTGAATTGCAGGTTTAGGTTTAGGTTATTTTCTTCTATCGTAGGAACAAAATAATATTTTGTTCATTCAATTCATATTTTTTTGTTGTAGCATTTGGGTTTATCCAAGATTTGATGCTATGTCTAGTTCTGGAGGTATTTTTTCAAGAAACACCTTCAATATATTTGATTTGTTTAGTTGAGTATTGCTTTACTGAGTATTGATCATCTGTACTTTGCTTTTGATTTGTCATCCCCTGTCAGATGGTATTTCTTTTAGTGGCAAATTAATAGAAGATATTGAGGCGAGAGGCGAACTTTTTGAAGTTGATTGTCGTAATGTTTTCTATCTTTTTAATTTACATAGTGTTGTTTTTTTGTCTGTGTTGTTTACTTTGAGATTTTGTTAGTTATTTGTGCATTTTTTATGTCTTCAGATTACTTGCATTCTGCTGATACCTTAAGTGAAGAAATTTTGTCAAGAACTGAATCTGTTCCTGTCCTACCAAGTATTGTGTTTTCTTACATTTTATTACTTTGTTAGGTTTTTCCCTATTCAAATTTTTAATTTTTTTTTTTTGCAGTTCAAAATTCTTCTACTTTTGTTCATGTAGATCAAACTGATGAGTCTGTGTGTTCTGAAAATATATGTGTTAAGGAAGCAGACATTTCTGATTTATTGGGTAAAACAGTTTTTTCGGAAGAAGAGGCATTTGATCTATATAATGACTACGCTTATAGAATTGGATTTGGTGTTCGCTATTCTACTTTGAGAAAGAGGAGTAACGGTGTTGGTTTTAGAGGAAGGGAATTTTGTTGTACGAAACAAGGTATGAAAAGAAACAAAGGTGTTGTAGGTAAACAATATACAAAAGTTGATAGACGAACTGGTTGCAAGGCAAAAGTTTATTTTGAGTTCAAATCTACAGGTGAGTTGGTTGTTGTTAGGCATGATATGGTTCATAATCACCAGTTTTGCCCGGAATCTTTAGTTCATCATGTTAGATCTCATCGTGCTGTTTCTTCAAGCGAGTTGGAGTATTTGCAACATTTAAAAAATAAAGGAGTTAAGATTGCAGATGGTTTTCGTTGCTTGCAAGCTGAAGCGGGTGGATCTCCTTCTGTTGGTTTTCTTTTGCGCGATGCTTATAATGAACTGACAAAAAAGTCTAAGAAATCTTTTGACGGTTGTGATGCAAATACATTGATTAATATTTTTAAGAACAGGCATGCAAATGAAGAAGACTTTTTCTATTCTTTTGAGGTTGATTTGGATGGTTCTCTTTGTAGCTTTTTTTGGAGAGATAAGAAAATGAGAGAAGATTATACTGCATTTGGTGATTTAGTTATTCATGATACGACTTATCGGACCAACAAATATGATATGATTTGTGGTCCATTCGTTGGCATTAACTCTCATACTCATAATTGCATGTTTGGTTGTGGTTTTTTATTGAATGAAAGAATTGAGTCGTTTGAATGGCTTTTCACTACATTTTTGCAATCTATGGGTTCTGTTCATCCAAGAACTATTATGACAGATCAATCGGCCGCTATGTCTGCTGCAATTTGTAAAGTATTTCCTCTCTCGAAACATCGTCTGTGTGTTTGGCATATCATTGAAAATTCAAAGAAACATATACGTGACTTGAGGAATCAAGAGGGCTTCTTAGATTTGTTTGATCATGTTCTGAAATTGTGTCACACCGTTGCAGAATTTGATCATTACTGGAATAGGTATCTTTTATTATGACTACATTTTGTTTTATCTTTTCATATTTTTATTAGTACTGATTTTATGAGCATTCTGTGTGTTAACAATGAGTAACAGGTTGTACGAATTGATTAGTTTTGTAAATTCATTGTCTTTTATTTTGTAGAATGATCTCTGAATACAATTGCTCTGATAATCCTTGGTTGAAGAAACTATATGAGATGAAAGAGAAATGGTGTCGAGCTTTTTCAAAAGAGTTCTTTTCAGCTGGAACCTTGTCTTCACAACGAAGTGAATCCACAAATCATTCTTTGTCTAGAAAAATGAATGCGAACTCGTCTCTTTGTGACTTTTACCATTTTTTCAGTGAGGCTGTCAGTGAATGGCGAAGTAATGAACGAAAAGATCATCAACGTTGTTGGGATGGTTATCCTGAAATTGCTATTCCCTATGTTGGTTTGTTACATAAGGCATCCAAGGTTTACACGATTGATGCATATAAACTCTTTGAAAAGGAATTTATGAGAGGTATGTCTCTTAAATATGAAGTTAGACATCATCAAGGTTCTTTAATGGGTTATTTGGTATGGATGCCTCAAATAGATCAGTTTTCTCATTGGGTTTCCTATGATATACCAACACATTTTGTTAGTTGTTCGTGTAAAAAATTCCTAGAGGTTGGTATTTTGTGTTGTCACATTCTTCGTATATATCATATTCACTGTGTGGAAGTTGTTCCGGATTGTTATATTCTGAAAAGGTGGACTCGTACAGCAAAGTGTCACGTAAATGAAGAAACTCATGATGTAGCTGGTACTTCTACTGTCTTGCCTTCTGTTTGGAGACTGCAAATGCAAAAGAAATATCACAAGCTGTTATGCTCTAGTGATTCAAATTTTGCAGCAAGGAAGTTATGTGAAGACTCTTTTAAAAGTTTGAAAGTTGCTATTCAAGATCAAGTTGGAAGCATTTATTTCTCAGATAGTGACTCCACCTCTGTTGGTGCGCCTTCAGCAATCTCTAATCCAAAAACTTCAAGGAAGAAGGGTGAAAGAAATGTGCGTCGCAAAAGTATTATTGAAGTCAAAACAAATCAAGCTAGAGGAAAGAAAAAGTTACGTCAAATGAGCACATCAGTCACTGATCATGCAACTTTGTAATCAGATTATTATATACTATTGTATTTGTCTTCTTCTATTTAGTTTCTGTTTTTTTAAAACATATGTGTAATCTTATTACTCAACGTCGTTGTTTTAATGTTCAAAAGAAACCATATGCGTGCTCATATATATTAATATTTATAATTTACTCTTATCCGTTTCTAGTACTCTTTTATTCTCTGTTGTTATATTTTTTTCACACTTTATGTTGAACGTTTACCGAATACACTTCATTCTGATCAACAAATCCTTTGAGTATTCCTTTTTTATGTAATGAACATTAATTATAAAAGTTATGAGTGTGTTTAGCAAAGTTCATATGATTCAAACATTAGTATCCATTTTGATATATTTTTTTTAAATTGAATTTACTTCCAGTATTATATCTGCCTTACTAATACTTAAAAAAATCAAACGTTTTTCATGTAAAACTAATTAAAGAAAATATTATATATTGTCATACGTATTTGTGTTATCATACTCAACTTTTGTGTTGTAATGTTCAAAGAAAACATTATCCGTACTCATATATATGATTATATATATATATATCAGGTATATATAATTGACTTGTATCTGTTTATAATATGTACTCTATTATTAACATCTACTGTTATTTTTTTTTAACTCTTTGTTGAACATTTATATATTCCACCTTGTTCTCATTAAAAAATGTTTGAGTATTCTACACACTTGTAATGAACATTATTGAAGAAGTTATGACTATGTTTAGCAAAGATATGTCATTAAACATTGGTATCCATTCTCATACATTTTTTGCTTGAATTTACTTCCGGCATTATATTTAACTTATTAGTACTTTAAAAAAACAAACACTTTTATATTAATTATAAAAGTAGTTCACACTCAATGTTTATACATTTTAAGTTACTTCTAATCCTCAGATTGAGTATATTTTTATTTAAAATGAGCATGTAATGTACTAGTAATGATCATTGCCATAAACGTGAAGTGTCTCTTTCATCATAAAAACACATGTCCAGTACATTCACCATCGAACATTAACAAGAACAAAATATGTCTTTTGCCAACAAAAACATAGAAGCATTTGAAGTTCATATTAAACTAAGTTAAACATAAGTATCATTAGAAGAACTACATTTCCTTCACTTTGTTCATCAACTCCATTCTAACTTCATTCCTTTGAAATGTCAACATCTTGTGCAAGTATTTAAGCCTCAAGACCTGTATGTGCTTTTCCTGCATGATTATTTGTGTTAGTATTATCATACAATATTATTTATTTATTAGTAATATGTCATTAAATCTTTGATTAAAAATAAAAAAGTACTTTACATGTTCTTTTTCTAGGCCACAATCCCAGTCTGTCTCTCCATTAAAAGTTTCCATGTGTCTCATCAGATAGACACCATCATTAGCTTTGTTTTTTTTGTTTCTCCATGCCATTTTGACTACTTCTGGCTTCATATTCTTCACTTTGTCAGCATGCTGATGTTTTTCTTCTTTAAGCCATTTAAGTACAGCACTTTTCTGTAAATAAAAACATTTACACATTAAATATGTTCAGATGCTCATTTTTTATAAACAGTATACACATTTTAACAAACAAATAATTTTGATTTATTACTTACCAGTTGGGTTGGTTGAGAAAGGTACTTCATTCCTATTGCTATTTCCTTGTCACAGTTATCAATGATTAAGAACTTCATGTACTTCATATCAAAGCACATTAGGTAGTAGCTACCATTACGTTCAGCTGGGAAGATAAACAAGTCCATGTTCTTCACTTTCGGCAATGCCCTTTTGAATTGGATCCTTGTAGCTTCAATGAATCTCTTGTTTCTGGTTGCTGCAGCACTAATCTGATTTTCCTCCAACACTCTCTGTAAACCAATTGTATAAGATATAATTTTCAAATTCAAATAAAAATATTTAAAATCATAAATCTTACACATGGTGTTGTTGTGAATATCAATCTATTCCTTGATTGAGTGCTTTTCAGACTCTCAAATTCATTCAAAATCATCGCCCATAAATCTATCAACAGTGGACTGACTATGGAATCAATGTTCAAAGTCTCCATCTCCTTTCTTGAAACAATCAGATTTCCATCTTTATAGAGCACAACCCTATTTATTTTAAGCAATTGTCAGCTAACTATTAATTAAATATTTTAGACAAGCAGTTTTCAAATATGTAGTTACTTACGATTTATCAGAGTTCTCTTCAAACACAAATTTAGCTAGTTTGACTTCTTCAGTAGTTGTTCCTGCCTTCATTTCTGTAATTCTGATCACGTATGGAGACTTGAGAGCAGGGCCAGGCATTACTTGTCTTTTTTCTCTTTCCACATGTGCACCACATTGGCCCTCTCCTTCAAAACAAGCTTGCTTTCCCTTTTCAGATGCCTTTATTCTATCATGCTCTTTTAATTCAGTCACAGGAATAGCTTCACTTGCGTTTATTATCACCTCCTCTTCATTATCTACCTGAGCTTCATTGTGTTGCTCATCAAGCTCCTCTTGATGCTCAGCAACTGCATATACATGCTCATCTCTCTGTTCTTCATCTTCCTGGCCACCTGCATGCTCATTTGACTCTTGTGAAAGCAGTGTGAAACTGGGCTTTTCGTATTGTATTAATGTAGGCCTATCATTCCTTTTTTTCTGAGCTTTTTCAATAGCTTCAACTGCCTTTAAAACCTCTTCAGTCCAAAACTCATCATCAGGAGTCATTCTTATTTCTTTTTCAGTTGTTTGTGGCTCTGTTGAGTATGTGTTGAAGAGTCCATGCACTTTACCTAGCAAAACCTTCATTTTTTCATCATCAGGCAACACCTTCGCAGCTTCTTGAAACTTTTCATCAAAGTTTGCTATGCTATCTGCCAAATGCTTTGCTGCTGAAGCGAATTCCTTCATGATATCCTGTATAAATCATATGAGTATTAGTGTATTACTAAAATTTTCATTCAGTGTTATTTTATTTTATTTTATTTTGAGTTACTGTATTGTGTTAAGGACATATAAAATGATGCACAACAATTTTTCTATGCTTATATGATAATTTTAGAGTAACTCAGTTTTTCCACTGTTCATATTTATTACTCAATTTAATTTAATAATATACTCATGTATAATTTATATGATACTCAAGTGTATAAAGAGTACATTATTTGCCTTACCTTATCTGCTTGCTCACTGCATTCTTCCTCGTTTTTCTTATTCTCTTCATTCTGAATCAGATTTGGAATTGTAAGAGTTCCTTGATTTGGTTCATCTATGTATCCAAATCCAAACCCTCCACTTTCTATCTCTTCCTTTTCCCTTTTGTTGAGATTCTGAGTTGTCCATCCAACTATAGATGGCAAGCCTCTGTCTACTTTCCTTCCTTTGAATACCATATTGTCAACATAAAACACCTAACATTTTTCAATATTTAGAATTGTGCATTACCATACCATAATTGAGTAATAAAATGATTACTTTGAGTATTGAAATTATATAGTTTTTAACTTACAATCAAAAAGAGAAGAGGTCCTGGGAACTGTCGTGCTCTGCTTTTATTCCAGTAGTCCTTTGATTCAATCAATGTCTGCAAAGCATAACTGCACCAATTAAAATTCTTTATTTGTGACTCATCATCCAGTGCTTTGAGTATGCTTTGATTGACAAAGCAATTCTGCTTTCCTTCAATTAAACAAGTCACCAGGAGAACCAAGAAATTTTTTTTGAACCAGCCTCCAGCTTGTTTATTTTTCTCCAATAGATCTTTCAGTTCACCAGTCCTCACAAGTCCTTTATCACTACTGAACTGTGCTCTCCAATCAGCCACCATCTCTGCTGTTTTTTCACCTTGAGTATCTATCAACCTTTTCACATCCAAGTTTCCCTTTGGAAATCCCATTGTGTAGTGTATTGCATCTTCAGTGACACGCAATTTCTCGTTCTTTGGCAAATGCAATGAAACACTCCTGCTATCAAACCTGTCCACAACCCAATATGCCAACTGCATTGGCAATTGTTTGATTTTTAAGTGTAGTATTGGGCCAAACCCCATGTCTACCACTTCTTCCTTCTGTTCTTCAGAGAGGGATGTGATTACCTCAGTTAGACTTCTAGGAGACATTCTTGACCATAGCTTTGGAAGGTTATCATCACCCTCCTTTTCTGTTTCCTCATCTTCATCTTCTTCTACGTCGTCTTCTTTCTTTTTCTTCAACTTTTCTTTATTCTCTCTCTTTGCTACCACTTTACTTTTATTTCCAGTTTTCGCAACTTCTTTTTCCTTGTTATCACCTTCTTCTGATGTTTGCGATCTTGTTATTCTTTTGCTTGAGAAGACTTGCATTGCACTTTTCTCAACTTTTCTTGCTTTTGATGTTTTGCTCTTTCTTCTTTTTTCACCACTCTCTTGTTCACCCACTTCTTCTATCAATGCTTGCATTAAAAGCTGTTTCTTTTCTGCAGCAGTATGTTGCTCAACTTCTTCTAAAGCATTGACATCTGCTGTAGTGCCATCATCATTTTCTTTCTCATTAACTCCCTCTACATGCTCATATTCTTCAATATATTTTTCAGCTTCCTGAACAGTATCTTGATGAACTTGTTCATCACTTTTTTCTTGAACTGTATTCTGACCTGGATCCTCATTCTGCTTGAAACTTTCTCCATCAACAGCATCCTCATCTGCAGCTGTATGTTGTTTAACTTCTAAAACCTCTTCAGATGCTTTTCTTTTCTTTTGAACACCTACCTTCTTTTGTTGCTTCAGGGCTTTTGAAACTTTTGGACTTTTTAATGCTTTCCTTTTTGGTATTTTACGCAGGACTGGAATCTCTGTTACAACCTTTGTTGGTGGATTTCTGCATTAAAAAATCACAACATTAGTATTGTAATAGTTAAATGATGCTAATACTTTATAATGAGCTTTTTCAGAAATTTCATGCAACAGTGTTTGAGTACTATCTACAAGATGATGAGTACTATATCAGTTTTGAATTAATACTATTATGAGTTATACCATTTTAGTTCAAAACTAAAAACACTTTAACCATTTTCATATTTCATAATCACATTGAACTTTGTTCCCAGTAATCATGAGCATTATACAGTTCCAAATGAGTATTAAATCAGTATTCAGTGAGCATTTAACACGACAAGCAAAATGTGAAATCTATGTCACATAATACATTACTTCATAAAAAATAAAATAAGAAGTATATGAGTATCAAAAAGCATATGATGAGTACTGTAACATTTTTCATACTATCATTACTTTTGAAATAACCAAATAAGAATATTCTTCTGCCATTTTCATAATCACATTGAACTTTGTTCCCAGTAATTATGAGCATTATACAGTTCCAAATGAGTATTAAATCAGTATTCAGTGAGCATTTAACATGACAAACAAAACGTGAAATCTATGTCACATAATACATTACTTCATAAAAATTAAAATAAGAACTATATGAGTATCAAAAAGCATATGATGAGTACTGTAACATTATTCATACTATCATTACTTTTGAAATAACCAAATAAGAATATTCTTGTGCCATTTTCATAATCACATTGAACTTTGTTCCCAGTAATCATGAGCATTACAGAGTTCCAAATGAGTATTATATCAGTATTCAGTGTAGCATTTAACACGACAAGCAAAATGTGAAATCTATGTCACATAATACATTACTTCATAAAAATTAAAATAAGAACTATATGAGTATCAAAAAGCATATGATGAGTACTGTAACATTTTTCATACTATCATTACTTTTGAAATAACCAAATAAGAATATTCTTCTGCCATTTTCATAATCACATTGAACTTTGTTCCCAGTAATCATGAGCATTATACAGTTCCAAATGAGTATTAAATCAGTATTCAGTGAGCATTTAACACGACAAGCAAAATGTGAAATCTATGTCACATAATACATTACTTCATAAAAAATAAAATAAGAAGTATATGAGTATCAAAAAGCATATGATGAGTACTGTAACAGTTTTCATACTATCATTACTTTTGAAATAACCAAATAAGAATATTCTTCTGCCATTTTCATAATCACATTGAACTTTGTTCCCAGTAATTATGAGCATTATACAGTTCCAAATGAGTATTAAATCAGTATTCAGTGAGCATTTAACATGACAAACAAAACGTGAAATCTATGTCACATAATACATTACTTCATAAAAATTAAAATAAGAACTATATGAGTATCAAAAAGCATATGATGAGTACTGTAACATTATTCATACTATCATTACTTTTGAAATAACCAAATAAGAATATTCTTGTGCCATTTTCATAATCACATTGAACTTTGTTCCCAGTAATCATGAGCATTACAGAGTTCCAAATGAGTATTATATCAGTATTCAGTGTAGCATTTAACACGACAAGCAAAATGTGAAATCTATGTCACATAATACATTACTTCATAAAAATTAAAATAAGAACTATATGAGTATCAAAAAGCATATGATGAGTACTGTAACATTTTTCATACTATCATTACTTTTGAAATAACCAAATAAGAATATTAGAATATTGTTCAACCATTTCAAAATTTCATAAGCACATTGAACTTTATATGCAGTAGACATGAGCAGTAGAGATTACAATATGAGTATTATACAGTAACAATTATTTGCAGTACACATGAGCATTAGAGATTACAATATGAGTATTATACAGTAACCAACATGTCAAATCTATATCACATATTTCGTTACTTTATAAACATTTAAATAAGAAATATATGAGTATCACAAACCACGTGATGAGTATTGTACCAATTTTAATGTAATATCATTTCATAACAAGCATCTTCTAAACACAATTGATTGCAGTAAACATATTGACGCTTATATGTACTTAACAAACACCTGTTGTCTTATTGTACTCGAAATATGAGCACAAGAGGGGCGGTAATGATCATTATAACATTTTAATAATCAATTTGACTTTTATCTAAATTATACTCTGTATATGTTTTTTCTCCAAAATAACGAACATGCAATTTTATTAACATAATGAGAACTAAGAAACAAAATGCAAATGTATATGAATGAGTATTACATACTTTTCAGATGCTTCAGCACTTTCGTGTTCTTCATGTGCATTTGAAAGCATGTTCCATTCTGAAACGAGATCCATAGCTCTGTTCGTTCTTAGTACTCAAAACCTAACACTTCGGAACTCAGATCTCCTTCCCCGTCTTCTTCTAGCTCGTAAAGCAACAACTCCGATTAACTGGTCACCATTAATGTCGAGATACAGATATGGCGGTGTAGTTGGGAAGAGTTGTGTCTCGTGCGAAGAGATTGCGGTTTTTGAGAGATTTGCAGTTGCTTTTTGTTTTTAAAAAAAATCGTTCATGTATTTTATTTTACCGCAACCGGGTATTTTCAAATTTTGGGCTTTTGGAGCACGGGCCAACAGTTAAGTAATTTAAAAACACTAAAATTGGGCCGGCTGTACGGTGCTCACCGTACAGCCGGATGTATGGTATACGAACCCCCTTGCAGCCGTGAGAGAGATAAGGATTGCCCTCATAACCAGCGTTACACGCACAACGGTAACCTCCGGATTCATCGTCAACGTCAACGCATTGACTATTCTCCTTGCACGCATAGCCATCGCTCTTATTTGCGACATTACAACTCAGATTCCCAATACCCCAATTCAGTACAATCGGAACGCTTTCCATTACCCTCCGTACAAAATCACGATCTTTAAGATCATCGAAGCCCCGGAATTTAAACTTGCCGGCTTCCCCAATAAACGCGTACCCGCAAGGGTTACCGGACCAGACCTGAGTATGGTTGGACGGGGATCTCAATCCAACCAAGTTATAAAACTTGGATCCCTTGGGGATCGTGTATTGGCAGCAACCGTTGGTACCTTCACAGCTTCCGGCAGTCACATCCTCTGGGTTCTTGCAAAAGGTTTGGCAGCCCTGTGTGAAACGCTTCATCTTTCCGAGGTTGTCTCCGGCCAAGGTACCATCGTCGTCGCACCCGACAACGGTGAACTTGTTTTCATCAGAGAAAGTGTAGGCGTTGTAATTGCTGAAATCGGTCCAAGTTGTAGACGCCCAATCTTGTGAGATCACGGCCCCTTTCCGGTTGTAGCATTGGTAAACAACGTCGTTGGAGATCCAGACTTGGGAGTCGGAGATGTGGTACACGCAAACGTTTATTCCTATTAGAGGCTTTGGAGGATTGTAAGTGGTGTTGCAGTCGATTTGCATGCTCGGGTCGAGAGCGCAACCCGGGCCCACTCCGAACGGGTACGGGACCGTGACGTTCCCGCATGTTTCTGGGCATCCCGGTTGCGTGATGTTGGTGCCTTTGGTGATTGTAGTGGTTGCTGCAGCATTAATGGGTGGAATTAGGGCAATGGTTGGCGGTGAAAAGAGGAGGAGGATGAAGGAGGCAAGTTGCAGAGAAACTGCTGCCAACCCTATTGGGGGGTGCATGTTAGTGGTTACAAGAGTGGAAGTAGTAGCTACTATACATGCGAGCTAGCTAGAGTATGTACGTGAGAGATACTTCGTTGGTGACCTCCAAGTCGCCTGGTGCTGTTTTTAGTTCACATGCATACTAAGTACAATAGTAATGCATATGCTTCCCTCCTATACTACACATGTGAGTTTGTTTCTCACGGGTTTCAAAAGACACAAGGTCATGTCATCCATTTCTTAGAATTTAATTTTCATGAGTTTTTTTCCAAACTAAGGTGGTTTTAATTTAGAATTTAATCCGGATATGGTTTACTTAAGTAAAAAATTATGTTGCTAGTGGGAGTTGAACACAAAACCTCTCACTCCTTAGCTATGAAAGAACCGCTGGACTATCATAGTTATTTGGTACTCCCTCTGTCCCGTTATGATTGTCCCATTTTATCATTTCGGTTCGTCCCACTAAGATTGTCTCATAACTTATTTGGTAAAGTTTGTGTGGTTCTAAATCATTCCTACTTTATTCTTACTTTATCAATTCAATTTCAACCACATAAACTCAAATTTATTAATAACTGTGTCACCTTTTCTTGTCTCAAACTTAGGGGGACGGAGGTAGTACATGTTTTCATTTAAATACATTTAACATATGTGTGGTATAGATTTTAAGTTGTCGTATGCACTGTTTTAACTCTTGTAGTACTAGTTTCTTTAGAATATATTAATTCTTTCTCAAATAATTAAAGATTATGTTAAACTTTTCATTTAAGATATTCAATTAAAAAAAACCAATTAAAAAATATGATAAAAACGTAAATAGATATATGTAACAAAAATGTATTTTATATGTTCGAGTTCAAATAAAATGTTCAAAATCGAGCTAAACAAATAATGAAAAATTGAAATAAAGTCAATATATAAATAAATGAATATATAAATGCATAAATGAATATTTAAATATATAAGTAAATAATTAATTAACTAAAAAAACAAAAAATTAAATAATAAATAATAAATACATAAATATAAATAAATAAATAAAATTAATTAATAAATTAATTAATTAGTTAATTAATTAATTGATTAAATAAAAGAATAAATGAGTGAATAAATTTATTTACTTTATTTATTATTTTAATTATTTATTCATTTATATATTTATTTATTCATTCATTTATTTACTTATTTATTTATTTGATTACTTTCATGTATAAATATTATATAATATATTCTACACATATTTTATTTTATGTTTAGCTTGAATTCCAGCATAAGCCTAAGACTGTATAAAGAATTTTTCATAAATAAACGTTTAAACTTTTTTGCGTTAAGAACATAATGTTTTTTAATAATTTTGTGTTGAGTTATTATATTTTTTTAATCATATATCTCATTTATGTTAAAATCTATACTCCGTATATGTTAAATGAATGTAAACGAGACTAAGTACCAAATGAGCATGATAACCTAGTGGTGTATACCTGACTGATAGGTGAAAGGTTGTGGGTTCAATTCCAACTAATGAAATTTTTTTACTAAGCAAAACACACCCAGGTTTGATGACATGGAATGACTACCAACTATGTGGCATAAGTGACGTGGCAGGTCAGTGACATGGCAAAAAAATACCTTAGTTTAGGAAATAACTTTAAAAGTACCCTAGTTTGAGAAATAAGTTTTAAAACTACCCTACTTTGGAAAAAACTCGAATTTTCATCTATGAAAAGCTAGTACTACTCACATTTTATTTGTCCTATTTGATTGGCACGATTAGTAATAAAGTGATCGAAAACTTAAAAATTGTGATTGACATTTGAGTATAATAAAGTGAGATATTTTAGACCACATAATTTTTTTAAAAAAAAAACGAAATGTGACACTTATTTTGGAACAATCCAAAAAGGAAAGTAGAATAGTTAAAATGAGAGGGAGAGAGTAATATACGGAGTAGATGAAAGTAATAAAGAGTAAAACGAATTCACTAAAAATAAAAAGAGAAATTTATTGATTTAGTCCCATAACTTATAGCTATACCCGATATTGGTCCTGTAACTTTGTTAACTTGCAGATTACATCCCGTAACTAATAAGTTGGTGCAGTTTTGGTCCTTCTCTGCCGGAACTTACCAATTTCGCCGGAAAAGACACATCACCTGCCACATGGTATATTATTTGGAACTCATTTGCTGACTCAATGTTGGCCCTTAGCTAGAGTTAAAAAATTATTTCTTCTTGGTTGCAGCAGGAGCATTTTGAATGAAGTTTAAAGCTTTTTGGATTCATGTTTTAAGAATAAAGCATTTGAAATGTTACATCATCTTCACTTCTCACATCTTTAACATGAGAAAGACTAGGAGCAAAAACACTAGCCCCACAACAACTATGAGGAGCCTTTTATTTTTAGTCTTCAACTTTACAACCTCTTCCTCTTTTGAATTGAGTCTTCTAACCAATCCCGGAATTATCATCGTTCAACGATGGCACATAGGTGGGTCCGTCCATTCAAAAAATCTGCAACCTTCTGTCTGTATCAAAACAAGATGAAGCTTAACTTACTTTTTACTGCTTTGAACACAAAAATACATCATCAAATGCCCCCAACAAATAGAAGATGGTAATTTTATTAGCAGAATCTAGCTTAAATTATAAAATACATTTTAATTTTCAAACAAATTTATTATTCAAATGCTATTCTTAAATTTCTAGTTTATTTAGTAAAAAAAGAAGCAAACAATGTAAATTAAAAAGATGAACTTTTTATTCTGCTTCTAGCGCACACACGAAACCTCCTTCCAGGATCGTTATCAGTCCAAGAAGTTAGAAGAGAAACCTTTTTACCACAATCACACTCCATAAACTTTTCTCTGATCGAGAGCCGTTACTAGCAGATTTGAAGAATAACACTCACTCACTCGACTTAGTTCAGGAGAAATCTTCAGGTAGAGTTATATGTTCTTCCCCCCTTTTGCAAATCCGATAATAGGTTTGGTATGGTTGTGCACGCACTTAGCGAAGATCTTTCGTACTCTGGTTTTTTAACTCCAGCTAAGGGCCAATATCGAGTCAGCAAATGAGTTCCAAATAATATACCATGTGACAGGTGATGTGTCTTTTTCCGACGAAATTGATAAGTTCCGGCAGAGAAGGACCAAAATTGCACCAACTTATAGTTACGGGATGTAAATTGCAAGTTAATAAAGTTACAGGACCAATATCGGATATAGCTATTAGTTATGGGACTAAATCAACAAATTTCCCCACTTATAATTATATGTATAGTATTACCTCCCTCCCAATGGACCTTGCACTTTGAATTAGGTGAGAAATAAAAAGAGTAAAAATTGTGTGATTAAGGTTTATAGAAAAGAGAGAAATTAAATGATCGAGCGGAACAAATTAGTTACTTTAATATGGGAAATTGACAAAGTTTTTTAAGACAACAAACAAGGGAAAATTGGTACTCCTTCTGTCTCATTTTGGTTATCTTACTTTCCTTTTTGGGTTGTCCCAAAATGAATGTTATGTTTCCTTTTTGGCAAACAATATATATGTCGTCCATATCATTTCAGTTTATTCAACTCAAACCTCAATCACAACTTTTACTTTTTAATCACTTTATAAATAACTGTGTCAAACTAAAAGAGGACAACCATTATGGATGGAGGTAGTAAAATTCAATTGGGAGTAGGTAGTATTTAGGAGGTTTGACCGAAGTTGTGGCTTAAGGATGTTTTCTTTTGGACCGTTTTCAGTCCCAGACCAGACCAGACTTAAACAGACCAGAACAGACCAGACCGGACTTAAACAGACCAGACCAGATCAGACTTAAACAGACCAGACCAGACAAGACCATACTTCCGTAGTTATAAAATACACAGAGACCAGACGTTTACCAGACTAGTTCAGACCAGACCAGACCAGACCAGACTTAAACAGACCAGACCAGACCAGACTTAAACAGACCAAACCAGACCAGCAAATTTCAGTCCAAAAGAAAACATCCTAACATCCCGTAGTTCGGTAGATAACGTCTGATGACTCAACAAAGGTTTGGATTGCAACGATGTAGCATTATCTAATCTAAAAACTTATAAGCACCAATTATGGTTAAGGGCATTTCCACTCATGTTTTCATTCAATTTCTTGTTTTAATTTTTTCCATGTCACCTTATGATACGTAGAGTATAAAAATGAGTTTTATGAAATATTTTCTCATCTCCCTTCCGCAATGAAATTAAGCACAGATACTCCACAAGATTTTCACACTCCACTTAGGTGTTGTTTGAATCCGATTCATCAAATTGCAGAAATAGAAGTTGGAGTGTTTTGGTGAAAGTGCAGACATTTCTGGTGCTCTGACTTACTCCTAATATAAAATCAGTTTTTAGAAGTTGAGGGAGACCAGCTTATGAAAACTCATATTGATTCTGCTTCTAGTTTATATTATAAAAAAACAGAAACAAAAAACAGTACCAAACACCTCTTAGTTACTAACCACATGTGGCCAACTTCTGCATTTCTAACTAACCGGATTTTTCCAGTTTTTTATCACTGCTGCATTTTTAACTAATCAAACTGGGTTTTGGTCCAGATCGCCGGGTTCCGAATCGACTTGACCAGTTTGAGTAAGTTTTTTAAACATAGAAATATTCAAGTTATTTTATTTAATTACGGAGTATTATTTAAATAATTGTGTTTTTTTCACCTTCAAAACCTTTCAATAGGACAACAGACAGATTCGTTCCAAAGAAAGAAAGAAAACAGCCAGAGATTCCTTACAGCCACGTTCCTTAATGCCCCACAGTAATGCATGTACTATTAAAGCAACGTTCATTCAAATACTCATATTCAATAATACTCCCAACAATAATGCTATGTACTACGTAGTACTAAAGCAACGTTCATTCAAATATTCAATGATGCTTCCCCTAATAATGCTATGTACTACTCCGCAGTCCGCACTAATTACTACCTCCATCCGATTTATATGGGTGAGGCTCAAATAGATCCTTGAACTGACTTAAAGTGTTCAATTAGCCTCTTATATAAGAGGTTCTGCCCGACCGTTGCCAATTGGGGCGGTTTCCGGTGGAATTTTTTGATGAAATAATTTGAGCATCTTCTTCATTAAGTCTAGTTTACTCAAACTAAATTTCAGCTAAAAATTCAACCGGGAAGGCAGTTAAATGATTTTTTGAAGATAAGTGTGAAGTTAAACAACGCAGTATATTTCGGAAAATCATTTGACTGCCTTCCCGGTTGAATTTTTAGCTGAAATTTTGTATGTGTAAACTAGACTTAATGAAGAAGATGCTCAAAATATTTCATCAAAAAATTTCATCGGGAACCTTCCCAATTAGCGACGGCCGGACGGAACCTCCTATATAAGGGCCTATTTGACCCTTTAGCCCATTTATGTTGTCCCCGAAGAGGGTGACACGGTTATTAAGAAAAGTGGGTTTGTGTGGTTGATATTAATTGATAAAGTAAGAATAAAGTAAGAATGATTTAGAGCCACACAAACTTTGCCAAATATAGTATGGGACAATTTAAGTGGGACTTTCCGATAAGGTAAAACGGGACAATATAAATGAGACGGAGGGAGTAGTAAGGAAGGGTTTATTGCTAAAATCACAGTTAGGTTGGTAAAACATGTGAAGTAAACACACACGCTACTTAAAAAGTCGCTTACTAACCGAAAGAGGTGCTTAAAGTGCCGCTTACTAAGCATACCACCCCTCATGTATTAATTATGCGGCACTTTAAACTTTTTCAGTTTCCGAATTTACCCCTTGCCCTTACCCTATTGTTACCCCTCTACTCGTTACCCCACCCCGCCTTACCCTACTACCCCGACCACACCCTACCCACTACCTCCATCCATGTACCTTACCTCTTACCCCTACCCTAACCCTACCCCCGACCATTACCCCACCCCATCGTTTACGACCTACCCCACCCCCTACC